AATGATCATGTTGATGCATTTACAGCAGATAGATATTTTCACAGCAAATCTTCAGGAATTGTGTCAACATGGCATGCAGGTTGCCCGGTTCAATTTGTGAAGGACCTTCCTCCAAATATATATCCATGAATTGCTGTGACTGTATCAGACTAATGATTAAGGTAAACAATATTGTCTGACCTTGATCATGAAATCCATCATTGTTGATCAATAATTCTATCCTTAGACCGATGTTTCTTCATCAGTTCCCAACTTGGTATTTATGCTAATGACAACAATTCCCCCATCTTACTAGTAACTCTGATTGGTTCAATAAAATAAAATAAGCTCCAATCAGTTAACTGGAAAAAAAAACAGCTTGTAAATTTGAACACCTTTAAAACAAAACTGCTACCATTTAGTCATCATAGAGAACTATTTTTGACTTCCAGCAGCATAACTGATGCTAACCCCCACCAGGAGGGCAACTCATTGTGCCTTCTCAGTCTAATGTTTTCCAGGAACATGAAGTGGAATGATTATATTTAATTGATTGCTAGGTTTGCCACTAGGAAATTTGGTTTACTGTGTCATGCCAGTCAATCTTTCTTGTCAGAATCCATTTTGCTGATTCATTGAATATTGCTATCATATCTGGTTTGGTGTTCCTGCTATATATCACAAGGTCCTCAACAAAATCCAAAGTAGGGGCTGTAATATTATTGGTCCCGACCTGGCATCTCAACTTCAGTTACTTTCCTACCACCATGACAGCTCCTCTATTTTCTTTTCTACAAAAATATTTTTATTGCAATTGTTCTAATGAATTTTTGTCATTGGTACTGCTTGAATTTAAGCTTGCTACTAGATTGGCAACTAGGTCTCCTTGTTTTACTATTTAAATACCAAAGTGTAAGTTCCATTAATTTCTTTTCTAGCATTTCTTCCAGTTTCTTGCTTCCCTGCTACCTACGATCTTCTAAATGCAACATCAATCACCATCTTTCGTCTTCCTGAATCCTTTTCCAGAGTTCTTTTATTGTCCTTTCTAATTCATTAACATTTCTTTCACACTCAGTAACCCCTTGCATCTTCGTGGCATTATTGCCTTGATTGGGTTGAAAGGATAACACTTGTGACTTGACATAGCTTATTTGATATCTCTGAGGATCACTTACTACTGACATAAGCTTTGTGCAGGACCTTTTACAGAAATCAGTCAAACAAAGCGGTGCTTGAAATTAACAACCTCCTGTCATCCAGGTGACCAGCCATTTCGAGTTCCTCTCTGGTTAAAAAGGAGTCTCCTTGTAAATTTGTACGGATGAATCAACATTTTTTTCCGACTTGTCACGTATTATCTTCAGAGGAAAATAAAACAAGAATTATTTTTTAAATTTATTAAAAACCAACAGCGAACGGTTTAGTTTTAAAATTACTTCTACACGTAAAAATGGTTAGTTTTCTTTTCCACCACGTCCGAAAAGTTCTTATTTTAAGTTTCAAATTGTTTAACTTTTGGCAATTTCTTTCTGGTGCTCGCTATTTGATAAACACATTTTTGTCTGATCTTAGTTCTGTGTGGTCTCCTAATATTCATTTTAATTAAATTTTGAACATCACAATTTAGTCTACAATATTTACAAAATTAAGTCGGTAACCGTTCGCCATTTTTAAATTAGCATCACCATCAACAAAAAAAAAAAAAAAAAAAGCTTTCATCATCAACTGAACAAAAATATTTCATTTTGAACAAATTTTGACCACAGTCGAGGACTTTTTTTTTTTTTGACGCTACCCTGTATGTGCGGGTGCAGAATCAGCTTTACCCAGTGAAGAAAATCCTAATTACCGAAACACAAAACGTCTATCAATAAACATTAAACAACTGTTAGTGATGCAAGTTATCAACACTACGAAAATAATTCAGTTATGGTGACTTTTTTTTTTTTTCCTTTACTGCATTTCATTATTTACATTTCATTTAAATTTTAATGTGTCCCGCCACAACAAAAAGTATATTTTTTTCTTTTTTTTTATGGAAAAAAAAAAAAAAAAAAAAAAAAAAAAAAGGTAACTGCGTGGGCGGAGCAGAGTCGAAAATTGAAATAAAAAAAAAAAAAAAAAAAAAAAGTATCAGTGGTAACCATTTTTGGGCTAATTATGCTCGAATTAGTAGTGATAAAAATTAAAATTATGTTAAGGTAAATTATTTAAATTTGTTAGGCTTGTTTTTAGTTGTCATTCATTTTCTCTTTTCTTTTGTAAGAAAGAAAAGCGGACTGACTAACTAACCTCAACATTCACATCAAAATAAAAAAAGATTTCAAATTTATTTTCATGAAATGATAGGATGATAAAATATATTAAAAGTACTTTTAAAATATATTTTTAAATTAAAAGTAGAATTTATTTCTTCTACTCCGAAGTAGTAGTAATAAGAAGAAATAAAATAAATCAAACTCAAAGTGCGTGTGTGTGGTTCTTGAAATGTAAAGAATTTTTCCATTTAATAAATGATATTCCAATTTCTTGGCAATAAATGTGATTAAATAAAAAATAAGTAAAATGAAAGTTTTATTATAAAACCTTGTCCGTATTTGATAAAAAAAAAAAACATTCATGATATAAAAAATTGAATCAAGAGAGAAGGGTGAAACATTTTTTTATTCTTATGAAAATAAAAATACCACCTGATATTTTCAAGTTAATTAAACTAAACATAAAAAATAATTTTATTTTATTTCAATTATGAACTTAGAAATTTGTAAAAGCTTCTTCGGATGAAATTGGGAATACTAAAAAAGAGAAACGTTTCGGATAGTAAAAAAAAAAAAAAAAAAAAAAAAAAAGGAACGATTTCACTCTCCATTCAAAGAAAGAACAAGTGAATTATTAAAAATATTGTTAGCTGTATGTGGATTTGTTAGTCACACTAACTTTAGTTTATTTTCTTTGTGTGTAGTACACCACCACTTTCAATTCTTAGGTGTGTCCAATGATTTTCAATTAGAAAAGAGTAAAGAAAGACATACTTCATTTAAAAAGAAAGGAAGAATAACGATAATACAGCTGTTTTTTTGTTTAAAAAGTTTAAGGAAACAAGTAGAAAATAAATGCAGTTTTGAAAGTAACGAAATATAATCCAAATTTTTCAGTTGTACACCTACCTCAAAATTTAAATTACCTTGATATGGGTTTTAAAAAAAAAAAAAGAAAAAAGAATGTCATCTATAAGTTAAACTAAACAGAATAAGTTCATTTTTTTTATGCTTTTTTAATTTTTCCAAAACAATTGATCGATCAATTATTAATCTCATGGTTTGGTTGCGAGATGATAGATTAAGGCGGATGGAAATGGCATCACCTTTTTTGTCAATAAAATCATAAAAAAAAAAAAAAAAAAAATCTTTTTAAATGACTTCATCACTTTTTGAGTTTTTTAACTGTTGAAATTTATCACTAAAATTGATTTTTTTTTTTTTTTATTCAAAATCAAAAACCTAAGTGAAACAAGTGTTGAACAGAAAATTTTAAGTTTTAAATTCAGAAAACCATCAAAGAAAAGCCTCGGTCACCATAAAACGTTTTGTGATGAAAAAGAAAGAAAAATAATAAACACTTTAGTTTTAAGAATTACGTCATTTTACAAGCTTTTTAAAAAAAAACCAAAAAAAAAAACCTTCAATTTCAATAAATACGCAAACATTTCCACGGACATTCAAAAAATATTCAACCTAACAGAATTTAAGAGTTAATTAAAATACAAAAAGTACACCTAGGTAACATTCCAACTCCAAGTAATATTCCATTCAAACGAAAATCATGGTAATTTTTTTTTTTTTTTTTTTTTTTTTTTACTAGTGTACTTAAAAGAAATTTTAAACACTCAGTTTTATCAATCTGCACACACTCAGAAGTCAAAATTAATTTTTAAAAGGAGATTGGTGTGGTATAAAACCACAGCTTAAGGTGGATGCAAGCAACTTTCCTTTTTTGTTTTCTTTTCTTCATCAATCTAGCTAGCGAAACTGCATGTAACTTCTACTCGTAAATAATTCGTTTTATTCTTCAACAACTCATTCATTTTTTTCACGCTGTTGAGTGTACAGCAAAAGACAGTCGAAATACTACAGCAGTAGTAACTGAAAAGTAAAAACCATCATTTGCAGAGCACGTGGAAAAAAAAGAAGGAATTATTACTTTCTAAAAAGGTGGCCTACATTCTCATAATAATGATCCTAGTCGGCAGGAGGTCGAACTACTCTTTATTTTTGACACTTACACACAAAACAGGCGTATATGCACCTGAAAAATAGAAATGTTTTCGTTTGGATGATGACAATAAGCTTCAGTACTTGGTCAGAATCAGAAGCAGCAATACAATGATAAACAGAGCAAGTCCAAATAAATTCTGGAAATCCTGCATGCAAAATTGCATAAAAAAAAAAATTAATTATCTTTTCGTTCCTATTTATGAAAATTGTAGATAGTAGAGAAAAATTCGATTCAGTTATTGTGTTACCCACTTTGAGAAGAAATGCTGTAGTGTTAAGTGACAAGTAAAGAAGGCTTTTTTTTTTCTTTTTTTTTTTTTTTTTTTATTTAGTGAAGCGAATGAATGAATAAATTAGGACGAAGCTTAATCATTAACAATGATTACAAAAAGGCGGATCCAATTTGTTTAGTGCCTTATTTTGAGTTTTGACTGACAAAATAAAAAAAAAAAAAAAAACTTGGTATTTAAAAAAGAAATACTATTTTTTATTCTTATTGTAAAACTTATAGCAAATAAACAAGGTTCGCGGCATAGGAATAATTCTTAAAGTAAACACACAAACGACGGCACAAGAAAAAATGTGAGAACATCTAACACGAGAATTTACTAAAATTAATTTCAACTTAAAAACTGAATACAAAAATGCTTCTTTAAACCCCCTTTTTTGCGATTTCAGTTCTACAGCGGTTAAAAATTATTATAAATGACTGACTTGAAAAAAAAAAAAAAAGTGGAAAAATACCTCGAGGGCGTTAAAACTCGACATAGCTTGGTTAATCGAAGTGCCATGATGTCCCAAAGAACTTTGCTGGAGTAGTCAAGAGAAATCCGATTATTATTATGTTGTGCTGCCGATAGTCAGTTTTTGTTTTATAGTTTGTTTTTTTTTCTTCTGTTATCTTACGTTTACTGGCCTCATCTGAATGGTTGAATGAGACGGAGTGACTTCCTTTAGTAATGGTGGTGGTGGTACCAGCTGCTGGAAGTTGATTCTATTGAGATTCAGGATTTTTTTTTTTTTTTTTAATTTTTATTTTTATTCAAGTGTTCAAAGGCAAGCAGATACACCGACAAGAGAAGGGATGCTGAAGGTCACCTGACTTACATGCTGCAACTTTGGTTGCGTCACGTGATCACAACCCAGATCACGTGATCAGGCCTTGATGCACATGGCATTAGCACCAGTTGAAAACAACCAGTATTACTGGTCAATGGAAAAGACGAATCGTTAATAAAAGATATACCTGGATATCTGACAACAGGAGAGAGAGAAACGAAGATGTATTGTTCTTGTTTAATGCTTTTGAAATAAACACGATAAACGTAGAAAAAATGATCTTATTTCCCAAAAATAAGTAAGAATGGTTTTGTTTTAATGAATTGGGAACTGGCCTTTAGTTTTAAAGAAAACGCTGTTCTAGCCTTTGGCCATGAAAGAATTTCTCAAAGAAAAAGTGATCATGAAAGATATTCAGTTGATTTAATTAAAACATCATGAAAAACACTTTATTAATAATTAGATATTTTTGCAACACTTTGTCTCATGATAAATGATTTTATATTTAAATTATTGGTAATGTTTACATCATAATAGAGAAAAGGCATAGAAATGCTTAACATTTTTTTAATCCTTACTAAATCTAAGTTCTTGTGCCAAACACAAAAACCTAGTTAGTAGGAATAGCAAATCACAACAGTCACAAAGTAACAAAATAAGACTCAATGACTGTGCAAAATTTTAAAGGAAAAACATTTATTACCTAAGTACGAAAAAGGTAAAAAATACAAATATAAAGTTTGCACAACAATTTCCTTTTGTGCACCTATTAAGGCAGGATAACAATTTCTGATAAAAAGGATTACCACTGAAAGATGGGAAAAATTACAATTTCAGTTTAGAAAAAGACAAGGATTTAATAACAAAAAGAGAAAACAATTTATGAAGGCAGAAAAACAAAGATGCAATGTCCTTTCAGAAAAAACAAAAACACTTACTTTTGCCTCATATGCGTCTCTGGGATATATAGCAATTTTAGAAAAGTCCCTTTTAAATTCATACTATTTGTGCTTGGGAACATTTCTTAGAATTCTTTTCGTGCTTTGTTGTTCAATCGCAGGAATAATCTTGTGCCTTCTTGATGCTCTCTTCTTGATGTCAAATGCCTTCTGCTCTTTGATGTTAAAATATCTTCTTGCTCATCTACTGACTTAGGTTCTCTATATTTGGAAAAATAGTGTCATAATGCCCCCATCTAGGTTCTTACTAGAGCTTGAGACCATGTTTCTCATTGGTCAGTATATATGAAAAAATAATTTTTCATAAACTAGAAATGGATACTTTAGAATTTTGGTGGGTTTTAACAACTGAGCCAAAAAATATACAAGTGTACTATTTTTTTTTATGCAAACTGTCTGGCCTTCATAAAAATACAAGTCTCTCAAAAGTATGTGTACTAAAAAAACAATCTTCACAATTAAACATTTATTCAAGTCTAACATTTTTGAAGTAATAAAATAAAATTTTTATACTTATGTTAGTCACAAAGGGTAGAGCTTGACAAATGCTACTGTATGCTGAAGTCATAAAAGAAGCAAACTAAGAAAGTATGAAATAGAGTTCAATGTTCTTTGTATATAACTATATACTAGTGAGTTTATGTGGCAACAGCAGCAGCATATACAGACAATTGGTTGTCGTGGATATACATAGTAACAGCACTCTAACAGGGTCACGTCCCTCTCTAGCCAGTCAATAAGTAAGATCTCCTTTTTTTCTGGAAATGTAAATTTAGACTTAGTTGTTAAGAAAAGAGGTGCATGTTTCCCACAAGACTTTCACTTCTTATTTTTATTTTATGTAATAAATATTTCATAAAATTTCAACCAGTTGTGTATTTGCTTTTGTTCTATGCCATTTTACTGAAAACATTTTATAGATGGTATAGGTACATCTACAGCAGATATCCAAAACCATTCTTCTCCCAGTAATTCTTTTAGTCCTCATATATGTCTTGGTCTTGGTACCTGAGGTCTTAGCCTGGTACAATATTTCTGAATCAAGTAGTTCTGTTACCTTGATTTCTGGACTGACGAGACAGGTACACTCAAGGTATCACACCTGTATCTACTTTTCTGGATTATTTGTCCCTTCATTAAGTATGCTGGAGATAAACATTTTCTGGGTTTTGGCATTATCTATGATAGTCAGGTTCCAAATTATGGAATTTCGAAGACGGTTATCCTATCAGAAGGTGTATAATATTGAGGTTATTGTACTGCCATTTTGTGAATGTGTTTTTGACCATGCAGTAGTTTCTGGCGGGGCCTCTCAATGCCATGATGTGGTCATAGCTGTACCTTTGGACAATTCAATCCAAGTTATTGATATATGCATCTTTTGTGGGTGTGGCTAACTCACTACCTAGTCTGATTTCTAAACATAACCACAACAAAACTGAATAAAAAACTGAAACTCAACCCCACAAAATAAGGTGGTGCCAGATTCACCATCTCCTACACCAATCTCAATGGTCTGCAGTCTAACTTTCCAGAGGTTGAACTCCATTTTCTTAATGCTATACCTAACCTTTTATTTTCCTGTCTGAAACTAGTATTGATCCACCTATACCAGTGCAGGAGCACACAATCCTGGGCTACTCACCCCCACTAGCAAAACATGTCCATCAAAATCATCACAGCCATGGACTTGGTGCCTATATTAAGGATGGATTCCCATCTGACATGACCCCAAAAATGAGGATCCTGATCTCTTGCATATAATCTCACCCCAGACCCCAAACCCTGCTTCAGTAAGTATCCAACTTCTCCTGCTATCCTCTATCTTTACTAGGGACAGATCAGGTTGAAAAAGGTGTATTGCGGCCATATATGGGTATGAGCTGCCCTGTCCTCACTTTCCAGTTTTGTCCAAAAGCCCATGTCCTGGTGGGTAATGAATTATTTTACACCCTACAACTCCTTTTCCACAGATGAAACATTGCAAGCCTCTCACTGTGCTATTTCCACTCAAAATCTTCAGATGATCTACATTTATTAGGCCCGTTTGTTGTTTTAACCTTCACAGCTAAGACTTGATTTCACACACAATCTTATTCTCTTCATTAATGAGACATAAGTTCCACTCAAGCAGCTTCTTCCCACAAACTGCTGCTTTGTGGAACCAACTCCCAAGAAGATGTTTCTCTGATCACTACAATCTTCTGTTTAAGTCTAGGGTTAACTGTTACTTTCCACACATATTCCCATAAACTGTGCCCCTTACTCTGTAACTATTTACCTAGAGTGGCTCTTGGGATTTTTACAGGGTGAGCCTTATTGTAAAAAAAAATTAGTGAGAGGTGAGATTTCCTGGTAAAAATGAAGTTTCTCCCTTCAGAATTTTTGAGTGAGAATTTTCACTTGATGAGAACATTGGTCTGCAAATGCTAGAATTGGGGAGTATCCCTCACTCACTTCACTCTCTCCATCAATGACAAGTAGTCAGCAAAATCTCCCTACTGATGACAATAAAAGTAGCAATAGAGACCATATGCATTGTGGTATTTAATACTACAAAAATACTTTTTTCCTAGCAAAAAGACAGCTGATTTGGATTTCAATGATTAGTGTGACTAGTATGTTGGCCTGAAAATAGCTGTGGAGACTAACATAGCAACCTCAACTGACTGGGCCCATGACAGAACAATGAGCATGGTTGCCAAACACCAGTTCGAATGACATACTTAACCACATATGATGTTGTAACTATGTCACATACTCTTTTCTGTAAGCTAACTAGAATTTCATTATCATTTAAGTTTTTTGACTTTAGATCATTTCTTTTGTTCATCCAAGATCAAATGATAATCCCTTTCAGTAATTATCAGTTTTGAAATTGCTTAATTTTAGCAAGTTATTAATTCTTTTTTATATCACAAAAACAATGATGGAGTATGAAAGGGTGTCTTTACCAATCTATTCTTTTCTGAGAGGATATGTAAATAGTGTAACAGTTATCAGGACAAAAAAGGGAATCAATAAGAAGAGTTCAAATTTTCACCTCCTCTACTGCATTCACTTTTGCACAAATACCCTTGGGAAATGTATAAATCAGTTCTCCCACTAGCTATGGATTAAACAGCAAAGTAGATAAGGTTCACTAGCCTTTGGTGGCAACCAGTCTAAGAGAAGGAAAACTCTGAATGCAAAACCATGGAGAAGACAACAGGAAACCACTCTGTCAATTTTCCCAAGAAGGCATGGAGATTCACAGATAATAAATAAAAAGGAATCTTTGGAGAGCCATGATTTCCATAGTTTTCTTTTTTAAAAGTTCTGGAACCAGTGTCATATTAATAATTCATCAGCTAAAATGTTACAATTATCACTATTATGATAGATACGAGTACAGTTTTCATTTCCTTCCTTTTTTTTCAGTAAATTTATTGTTGGATGTCAAAGATACCAGCACTATCTTCACACAATGTTAGGGAAATTATAGAAGTGTGTTTAAAATTTACTAAGCTTGTGCATACTTACTATTTGATAATCATTTGCTAAAAGGTGATAATTTTACTTTATTTTAGTAAAAATCATAGCTGAACATAAAATGCAAATTTGACAATACTTGTTATATCAATTTTGGAAAAAGTGCTGCAGAAATTAAGTAATACTTCACTAAAGGTGCAAGCGTGATTTGTGAAATTTCAAAAAAGAAATTTTGAGCTCAAGGACAAAGAGCATTCTGGAAGAGGTCAGAATTTAAAAATAAATAGATTAGAGGAACTTTA